AACATCCTTTGCTGCTGACCCGTACAATGATATCATAAAAAGCTCAAATTCATCCTTCAATCCTATCTACAAGGATCTTGATGCTATTCTTGCTTCCACTCTTTGCCCTCAACAAAAGATTAAACTTCTATTTTATTTGCCAAGCAGCACCAAACATTCAGACTAAATTCAAAAAGTCAGACCTTGGTCTTCAATCCCCCTAGAGATACCTCTTAGGTATGGCTTTCCATGCCTTCAACAGTGGAGAAAACAACAAAAACAGGATGACCTTAAAAAGGATGCATTTTAGGCTAAACTCAAATGCCAATTTCTGGCCTCAGTAGCTTCAGCTACAGTGGAACTCAGGGCTCAAGATAAAACACAGGTAGAAAAAATGACTAAAAACCTGAGCCCCTCTCCACCATTCTTCAAGTGCAGCAGATAAAGGACACTGGATACAAGCCTGCCCTGACCTGTGGCCATGAATGGGAACTTGTCCCATCTACAACCAAGAGGGCCACTGGAAGTGCAACTGCCCTGTGAGAACGAGTACGTCATCACCTTCCCTACCCTCACAGGCTAAGACATTGCTGCCTTGGACTCATCACCAGCTGATCTGCCCAGCATCACCACTGAAGAGGATAGACAAGGCTTGGGGCCTGCAGGCTCCACCAAATTATCTCTCCAAGAGCCCCATGTCTCACTGGATGTCTCAAGTAAAACTGTCTCTTTTCTTGTTGACAGAGGCCACCTATGGTATTCTTCCTGAGTTTTCAGGGCAGTGTTTCTGCTCTGCAGGCTCTCTTATGGGAATTGACAGCCAGCTTACATGATCTCCCCAGACAGGACCTACTTCCTGCAGATTCCAAAACTTTTCCATTACACACAACTTCTCAGTATCCCAAACTATCCTGTACCTCTTTTTGATAATCTGCTCCAAAAACTCAGTTTCTCTTATACTCTCTGCCCATGGGGGTCAGACTCCCAAGCCAACTGTCATGTGCTGCTGAATCAGCCTCTCCCCTTCCCTCCTCCACTGTCAACCCTACAGTCTGAGACATCTCCAATCCTATTCATGCCAACACATTACTTGTAATTCACCTCAAACACCCCTCACTTTCCCCATATCCAATAGCCCCTAAACATCAACAGGGGCTCAAACCTATAATCTGCTGCTTATTATCTAATGGGTCTCCAAAAGTCACTCACTCACCCTTCAACTCCACTATTGTCCCTATCCTCACATCCAATGGCTTCTATCACGAGTCCAAGATCCTGGAGATACTAAAAATGCAATTGATAGTGTCAGTTCATCTGGTGGTGCCAAATGCTTACGCTATACTCTCATTTTTCTTTGTGTACCTTTCACTTTTCTGTATTATACCTTAATGATACATTTTTAACTATTTCCTGACACCTCAATTGCCAAGATTTCTTTGCCTTTCCATGGACAAATCCAGACACTGCAATCTACACAACTTATTTAGAGTCCTACCTCAAGGCTTCATGGACACTCCACACTTCAGCTGAGCCCCTGCTGCTGATCTCGTGGCTCTCAACCTTTTTTTTTTTGTGGCTCTCAATCTTAAACCTGACTTTCTTCTCCAATATACAGATGAGCTTCTCCTCTATTCTCCAGTCTATCCTCTAACTACATAACATCCAGCTACCTTTCTCAACTATCTCTCAAGTTTCAAACATAGGGTGTTCCCTACTAAAGCCCAAATAGCTTCACCAAAGATTAAATACCTGAGTCTCACTCTCATCCCCACCTATAACCTCAGACCACAGAGCCCATCTCCATGATCTCCAGGTGCTAACTTCAAAACAAGTTTTATCTTTTCTAGATTTAAAAACTTCTTTTATCTCTGGATCCCTTACTTTGCTACACTAGCCCAACCTTTATAAAAGCATCCACAGGTTCTTTATCAGAAGCCTCACATCCACTACTCCTATTTCTCATTTTCTAAATTAAAAGAGGCTGTTTCAAAGGCCCAAGCTCTCATTCTCCTTAGGCCAACCCAAGATTTCTACCACTCAAGATCATAATGCTGTAGGAGTTTTAGTACACACACACACACACACACACACACACACACACACCCTTCTTTCCAAGCAGTAGCCTATCTCTCAAAACAGACAACATGATACAAAGCTGACCTCCTGCCTTTCTCCACTTGCTTCAGCAGCCTCACTAAGACAAGGGGCCAAAGAGTTCACTTTAAAACAGTCAATTATTGTCCACCTACCCCATTGCTCCAGTGACCTTATTTTACACAAGATATTTCCTGCCTTAATGACGTCTCACCTACAAGTTGACTTAATTCTTATACAGGATCCTACAATCACCATCTCTGTTAATATCTCCCTGAACCAAGCCACCTTACTTCCCACCTCTGACGAGACCCCTTACACAATTATAGTGAGGTCCTGCAGATGACTCCTACTCCCTTCCCTCACATTAACAGTATTCATCTCCCTACAGCTTCTGATACACAGTTCATAGATGACAATACAGCCAACACAAACCCTCAAAAGAGGACAAAATATTCTATAATCAAAGGCTTCAAGTCATAGAGGCAAGCTCACTGCCACTCAAAACATCTTCCCAGAAAAGAAAACTAATTGCCCTCACATGGGACCTCACACTAATTACAAAATCATAAATATCTATACTGACTCCAAATATACATTCAACATACTTTACTCTCATACTATGTAACAAATATGAGATCTAAGTAATCACAAGGGACCCCTAATCACTAATACACCTCTCATTCTTAATTTGTTAGAGACAACACAACTTCCAAAACAAGTAACAATCATTCACTATAAGGGACACCAAACATCATCAGGTCTATCTGTCAGGATAGTACCTGTGTGAACACACAGGCTAAATTAACTACACAACAACAATATGTCTCTCGTCTTTCCCCCCTTATCCCAAACACATTGACTTCACTTCAATATTCATCTATACAGTGACAGTTAATTCACAAACCCACAAGTTCTTCCTCCCAGATCAATGTTTTAGACCTCATCACTAACATACATAACTGCTTTCATCTAGACAGTCAAGCCCTATATAAACTACTAAGTCTACTCACTACTCATTCCTCTCTAAAAATATTCATCAGGTCACTCACAGCTGTTTTGTGCCAAAACCTCTCCTCAGAGACATTTATCTGCTTTCCCAACCTATCAACTTTGTGAACACACTCCAAATAAAGACTAATAGATTTTACACATGTGCCTCATCATAAGACCTACACACCTCCACCTCACCCGTTCATAGCCCAGTGTTCTGTTACTCTCTTTACTTCCTTGGCATTTTTTACTGCTGGTCCTCATACTGCTGCTGTCATACTTCAATCTCTCCCTACAACACCAAAACTTTTATTGTTCACTAAAATTTTAGATTCAAACACCTTACACTGCCTAAAACAAAGCCTTCGGTCTTACTTCCTCTTCCACTACTCCTATTCATTCTCCTTCTAGGACACACGGCCTTACTGACAGTCTACTGCACAGTTTTCAACCTCACTATTCCTTTCTCCCACATAAATCCCAGCCTAAAATCTCAAGTTCAAATAAAAATTCTCCAATATTACAACACACAACAAATAACCCCAGCTCAAACCCAGCATCTCCCTACCTTTTCCATAATGCCCACATCTTCACCCCAACATCTCCAAATCTGAAAACAAAACCTGTATGATGATTAACTACCTGGCCATCCCCAGGCTAGCACAAACCCATGGGCCAGCATACTAGGAAGACCTGGTGAGCATGCGCAGAACCTACAGAGACATGCATTGCAGAGAAGGTTAGGTTCCTTGCTCGGGGGCCGTGCACGTGCAGAAGCGGTTAGGCTGCTTGCCCGGGGGCCCGTGCACGTGCAGAAGCGGTTAGGCTGCTTGCCCGGGGGCCCGTGCACGTGCAGAAGCGGTTAGGCTGCTTGCCCGGGGGCCCGTGCACGTGCAGAAGCGGTTAGGCTGCTTGCCCGGGGGCCCGTGCACGTGCAGAAGCGGTTAGGCTGCTTGCCCGGGGGCCCGTGCACGTGCAGAAGCGGTTAGGCTGCTTGCCCGGGGGCCCGTGCACGTGCAGAAGCGGTTAGGCTGCTTGCCCGGGGGCCCGTGCACGTGCAGAAGCGGTTAGGCTGCTTGCCCGGGGGCCCGTGCACGTGCAGAAGCGGTTAGGCTGCTTGCCCGGGGGCCCGTGCACGTGCAGAAGCGGTTAGGCTGCTTGCCCGGGGGCCCGTGCACGTGCAGAAGCGGTTAGGCTGCTTGCCCGGGGGCCCGTGCACGTGCAGAAGCGGTTAGGCTGCTTGCCCGGGGGCCCGTGCACGTGCAGAAGCGGTTAGGCTGCTTGCCCGGGGGCCCGTGCACGTGCAGAAGCGGTTAGGCTGCTTGCCCGGGGGCCCGTGCACGTGCAGAAGCGGTTAGGCTGCTTGCCCGGGGGCCCGTGCACGTGCAGAAGCGGTTAGGCTGCTTGCCCGGGGGCCCGTGCACGTGCAGAAGCGGTTAGGCTGCTTGCCCGGGGGCCCGTGCACGTGCAGAAGCGGTTAGGCTGCTTGCCCGGGGGCCCGTGCACGTGCAGAAGCGGTTAGGCTGCTTGCCCGGGGGCCCGTGCACGTGCAGAAGCGGTTAGGCTGCTTGCCCGGGGGCCCGTGCACGTGCAGAAGCGGTTAGGCTGCTTGCCCGGGGGCCCGTGCACGTGCAGAAGCGGTTAGGCTGCTTGCCCGGGGGCCCGTGCACGTGCAGAAGCGGTTAGGCTGCTTGCCCGGGGGCCCGTGCACGTGCAGAAGCGGTTAGGCTGCTTGCCCGGGGGCCCGTGCACGTGCAGAAGCGGTTAGGCTGCTTGCCCGGGGGCCCGTGCACGTGCAGAAGCGGTTAGGCTGCTTGCCGGGGGCCCGTGCACGTGCAGAAGCGGTTAGGCTGCTTGCCCGGGGGCCCGTGCACGTGCAGAAGCGGTTAGGCTGCTTGCCCGGGGGCCCGTGCACGTGCAGAAGCGGTTAGGCTGCTTGCCCGGGGGCCGTGCACGGGCCGTGCACGTGCAGAAGCGGTTAGGCTTCTTACTCAGAAGCGGAGCGGGTGAGGTGGTTGCGATTCTTGCTCAGGACTTGTGCAAATGCGCATGTACAGGGCCATTAGAGCCTAGACATTGGATAAAAGAGGTTGCTTGGCGTTCATTGAAAGTCAGAGAGGTCAAAGGGGCCTGAGATTCTGCCCGGTGAGGACCGGAAACCGGACGGTCGGAGGAGTCACAGGGCTGCCATGCCAGGCATCTTTGGCAGCTCAGTGCCCAAGCTCCACAAGGCTGCCCGCAAGGGCGACAAGGCCAAGGTGGAGCGTCTCCTCCAGAAATGGAACACGGTTTACAGAGACAGCAAGCAAAGGTAATGGGGCTGCAGGCCCAGGGGCTGTGAGTGGGGCCAGGATGATGCGGGAGAGGAAGAAGTGGGTGAAGCGGGGGCAGGGGGATTCCCACCACCCTGGGAGGCAAAGCTGGCCAGAGAGTCGATCCTCAGGTGGTGTCCATAAGCTGCAAAATAAAAACCAAACATTCACTGGTTTTTAGTGGACTTATACTTCCTGTGTAGACTACATTATTGACTGCAGAAAAGCTATTTAAACATGGTAACACGTGTATAGAGTTTTATTCTTAGTATCACATTAAGAGATGTACTGTTGTACATATTATTTAAAAAGGGAACTATGACATGTTTCCTGTAATCTACAAACTTAGGGTGGAAACTTAACCTGATGAAAATCTAGTGTCCATTTACTATCAGTGTACACCTGTGCATGTATGTTCTTTACTAAGGAACCTTATAAGAAAACTGAGATGGGAAGGTGACGGCATGTTCTTGACTAGAAAGTTCTGTTAGTCTCAAAATGTGAGCTTTCTGTGTATCAGCTTTATAGAAGCTAAATAAAAAAATCGCATAAGACTTGAGTGTCCGTAGCCTCTTTCGCTATGGGGTCACTAAGAAAATGTAGTGAAAGCCCACCTTCGTAGGTATCACGGTAAGTCATTTTCACAAATTAATTGTTTTCCAACAGCCCAAAAGATAAATAAATGAATGTAACTTAGTAGAAAACCTGGAAACATTCAAATATCTGTCAGATTTTAGAAGTTGAAAAATTGGAATGACTCATGAATGAAATGCCTGTAAAGTGTTTCCAAAAAACCTGGATTTTTATGTCACAAAAGTTTCTGGTGGTGTATTGATTAAAAATTTTATATCATACAAAATGAGAAAAGTGGCAAAGGAAAACACATAGCCTATTTGAGCCTTCCTAAGAATGACACCAACAATGAACATTCATTTTTTTGTGTTGGGGGTTGCTCCTAGAACATGGTGCATGCGAAACACACTACCACTCAGCCATCCCCTTCCCCACCTGCATTCTGAAGGTTGACTACCAAAAGAAAAATTAAATTCTCATTTATATTGGAAAATCATTAACAAAATGAAAAACATACTTGTGAGACATTTATAACAAGGGCCTGGGATATTAACTCAGTGGCACAGTGCCCACATGAAAATGTGAGGTCAGGAGTTAGATTTGCAGTGCCAAAAAAATAAAATAAAATAATAAAATAAAATAAAATAAAGGAGAGATAAATAGATACATCATAAAATACATCATACATCAGATGAAACAAAATCATACATACATACAGCAGATAAAAAAATGTATCTTAAACTTACAGGGTAATTTTTTAAAAATCATCAAAGAAAAATATTGAATACTAATTTACTTCCATGCTAGATAGCAACACTGTGAGCCTCATATCCTGGGCTGTACTGCTGAGCTATATTTAACTCTAAATTATGTGGTTGGTTTGACAAGTGACCTGTAAACATAAAAAGAAATGTTTAATGTCCCTGATAAGGGGAATTTAATTTTACAAAGGAATCAAATGTTTTCCAGTTACAGAGTGTGAGAATGAAGAAAAGTTTATTCTGCTGCTTAAAACTGGAGATGGCTTATGACTTTTTCAAATAGGAAATTTGATATAAGTACTATACCACAGTTTAGGAAAGCATGTCTCCACCAATCAGCTCTCTTCTAGAATATCTTTAGGACATACAGAGACGCATTTAATGTGCATTTCTTCAGTATTGCTTAAAATAGTGATGGATTCACAGAAGAGATTGTATCAGTTGCAGTGCATTCATAGGATGGAGTGATATATAATCACTGAAATTGGCATCACATCAATATATTCTTAACAGGGAAAGATGTACTTTCATATATCCACTGAGCAAAGAGTCAGTTTAATTTTGCATACACACAGATAGGCTGCAGTCTTGTTTTAGACAGAAAATGTATACAAATTGTGGCAAAATTTGTTATTTTCAGGCATTTGACATTTTCTGTTCTTTTTTATTATCGAGAAGTTCATTCTAGTTGTAATATTTAGGAGTTTATTAAATTTTTTCATTCTAACAGTTTCATTGGCCCAGAAACAATGCTGAGTATTCTATATTTTGACATTTTTGTGCCTTGCATTTTGCATGTTATGATTAGTATTGGCAACGGTACTGTGTGCTCTTCTTTCCTTTCTCTTATCCTTGATTTCTATAATAGATATGAAACTCTAGTGAAAGTTGATTATTAATAAAATAATCCTTGAGAAAAACAGAAATATTAGTTAAGCACAGATAATTTTCATTTTTATGTGTGTGTATTGGTATTTCTGATAACTTTTTACTTCTTCTGAAATAAAGAAATTATCTGTATGTATAGATTTTACTATGAATCATGTGATGATGCCTTACGAAGAAACCTTTTTAAAAGCCACTGCTGTGGGATTTTCACATGGAGAGGCAGGGCACTCCAGCTGCCCAAGTAGGCAGCTTCATTGGTGCTGACACTAACTCAGCAGATTCATGATTAACATGGTATAGTTGCCCCCTTTTATACAATTTTTGTCTTTTCATCTCCCTTATATGGGCACATGCAAGGATTTTCCAGTCTGGCCGGTATACCTTAACATTCTATAGGCTGGTTTATGTTATAGTGTTATATCAGTAGCATACACAGAGGCTGATGTTAAAAAAAAGCCCCCCATACTCCAAAGGTCAGGAGGGGCCCTCCCACACCACCAGTTATAGTTACACAAGACCTGTTGTCTTCTGAGCTGTATGTGGCTTTCCAATGACAGAGGTGTTAAAATATGAGAAAAAGTGTCTGGAGGCTTATTGAAATAATTCTAACCCCACAAGGTAGGTCCATTTGAATTATTTTATTTTACTTAATTGAAATATTGCCTTTGTTAAGTAGTAATAGGAGACATTATAGTATCAGACAATTATTGAGCTGTTACTTGTTTGAGAAGTTATTCGAAAAATTTTGTGTGGATTCTTACTTAACCATCACAGTGGTGTCTTGTGAGAGAACTGCTTTCAGTCCTCATTTTGTAGGTAACAATCCCGAGGCACAGAAAGGCTAAGGGATGGCTAGAAAGTAAGAACTTAGAGTAGGAATTAAATTCCAATTGAGCTAAATCCAAGGCCTGCTCTTTCTATTCCAGTGGGTTGCACTAGGCTGGGAGGTAGCGCAGTGCAGGGATCTTGTTTAGTATGTGCAAGACAGCAGCTTCCATCCCCCGCACCACACACAAACGCAGCATCACCCACTTGCTCTTCCATTCACAGGTGAGTAATAAGAGATGCTAAGCATTCTATGTTTTCAAAGATAATTAAATACTTATTGTGAAAGGTATTTAATGTTCACAATTCCATGAATAATTATGAATTTTGAAATGGAGTGCTGTAATTTCCTAATAATCTTTCTGACTGTCCCAGGACTGCTCTGCATTATGCCAGTGCCTATGGCCATCCAGAAGTGGTGAGACTCCTGATACAGAAAAAGTTTGACCTTAATGCCTGGGACAGTGACCATGACACCGCTCTGATTAAGGTAAATAGCAGCCAACAATTTCAGCATGGGAGGGATTGTATTTAAATGCTGAAAATCAAAGTCAGTTGATGTAATTTGAATATAACTCCTTGGCCAGGCATGTGGAAAGTGTGTTTGGAGTTTCTTGAGTTGATGGTGTCTCCTCTGTTACAATACCCACAGGCTGTAAAATGCTACGAGGAAGACTGTGTTAGTATTCTCTTGGAACATGGTGCAAATCCAAATATTGCCAATACCAAGGGCGACACTGCTCTGCATTATGCAGTTTACAGTTCAAAGTCTTCACTAACAGCAAAACTGCTTTCGCATGGTGCCGATGCTGAGGCAAAAAACAAGGTATAGAGCACTGAATTTTCTTTCCAAAGTTTCTGAAATACTTTCCTGTTCACAGTGACATATTGGTTGGTCAGTTCTCCATATTTAGAAGGTCAAGTGTTTCATGGATGGAAATACACTGTTTTAAATAACTTAATAGTTAATGTTTTCACTTTCAATGTTGATAGTTTTAATGAAATGCTAGAGGATGTGAGTTTCTATTATGCACTTACAGCAAGCATTTGTGAAGACACTGAAATTTAAAAAGTAAATCATTTTTCTGTTATTTTTTCCAAATGGTTATATTTTCTTTCTTTTTTTTTTTTGCACTAGTGTAAAACAACACAGGACAGCAAAATTAGCCTCAGAAATAGGTATTATTTTAAAACTTAAACAGAACAACAGTATTTTACAATAAGTGGTAATTTTGTTGCTGTTGACAGCTCATAAAAATGATCCATTTTTGATTTGACTTAAATGGGAAAAATGAGAAGGAAAAATAATTAGAAATAATGCAGGCCCATAGAGTTTGCTTTGTTGGTTGGCTGTTTTTGAAAAAATATTTTTTCTGGTTCATGTGCATAGATAAGATCAATTTTTAGGAAAAATACTTTTTTTTCTATTCAGTACTGGAAATTGAACACAGAATATTCATACTGAGCTGCATCTCCTGCTCTTTTGTGTTATGTTTTACTTTGAGGTAGAGTTTCAAATTAGTTGCCTAATTTGAATTTAAACTTGCAATCTGCCTACCTCAGCATTCCATAGTGCAGATAATCTGGTTGTACTCAATTTGGGAATAAAAATTCTTTATTTTTTTCTTTTCTTTTTTCTTTCTTTTTTTCAATACTAGGAATCAAACTCTGGACCTTGCACTTACCAGGCAGGCATGGTGCTGCTGAGCTATATTCCTGTCCTCTTAAAAATTTTTAAATAGTAAAGAGAATGATATAAACCTGAAATTTTAGGAGAACTGGATCAATCCAGTTTTTCACTGGATGCATGGTGATTAAGTGGGAAACAAGGGAAATGAATGAATAATAAAGAGAAGTCCTCTCCTTTTCAGTCAGAAACCGCAACTAAGATAAGAATCTGAATTGTCCTTTCAAACATATGATGTCTTGCTGGGAGCTGGGAGTTAAGGAGCTTGTATGATGAGATCAGTTGTATTTTGAATGTACTAGTCCCTGTTCTGCCCTGTGCCAAGAGGATTAAATGGAGCTTCCATGGAGTACCTGTCTCTCACCTTCCCTCCTTTTGTCTAAATTCTCAACTAGTAAAAAGTAGTGGCTGTGTAGATGAGAGATGAGACTGATGTCATCTTCTAGGTTCTCTAGTCCTCATCTAGACTTGTGCGTTTCTGTGGTCAGGAGAAAGGTTTGAAACAGTTGAGGCTCTGTCCTGGAGATTTGGGTTCAGTAAATGTCTTAAGCCCTGACATGGATATTTCAAAACATTTCCTCAAGATTCTGACGTAGCTCAGAAGCATTTAATGGACAGGCATGTTTAATGGTGAATTCCTAATTCTCAGAAACTGAAGAAATCTCTAGATGAGTTGGATTAAATACCACTTCCTTCTAATCTCTCCTTTCCAATAAAATCAGGCCAACTTTCATTTGTCTTTCTCTACCTCTGTCCATGGGAAGTGAAAAGGAGTATCATCAGTGAAACCTCTTATTTTGCAGAATCCCACCACTTTCCCTCCCATCTGCAGTCATTCACTGCCACTGTGAAGCTCTGTAGAAATTCTCTGATGGTTGAGATTGAATCTTGAAGAATGTCACATCTCTTTATCATCATTAGTGCCTCTCTTTATTATCATTAATGGCCCAGTGTTGACAAATGGTGATTTGCAGGAGTTTGAACAATATCCATCTTGAGCCTGTATTTAGTTGAAGGCATGTGATAGACTATTTCAATGTATTAAGTGACCCCCCTGGTGAAAATCCTTGAAATTGTAAGAACATAGGTGGGAATGTTTTATACATTTTTATTGCTTATTTTTATTTTGTGTGTGTGTGTGTGTGTGTTACTAATGATTGATCCTAGGACTTTTCCATTGAGCTGCATCCCCAGCACTCATCACTCATCACTTTTAAAAATTTGAGACAGTGTCTCACTAAGTTGCAGAGACAGAAATCAAATCTGAACTTGGATCCCTCTTCTTAGCCTCCCAGAATGATAAGATTACAGATGTTCCTGTCCCCTGTCCCGCTGGGAATAGTTTTGATAATTTCCTTTTGGCACTCCTTTTTACCTGCTTAACAGTCAGGGAGAACTGCATACACATGGAGGAAAAGTATGCGTGCTGGAAAAATTATTAAAATAGGTATAATCTTTTTTATTTCATAGCAGGACCTCTCTTTTTGGTAAAACATGATGTTAAGGGAAGAATTTTACATTGTACACAACCATTTGGAAGCACATGCACAGCAAAGATATAAGCAGAACACTATGGACTAAATGTGCCTTTTAGCTCTATGCAATTTGCTTCCATCAACTGAATTCACAATGAAATTTCAGAAAACATCTCCATAATTTGAAGTTGGAGATGCTCACAAAGAAGAGGCTGTGCTGTCTTCAGAGCCCCTGTGACTGTGAGGGTGTGCCCCCTGTACAGGAAGCTCCCATGGCTTATCCAGTTTGCTATTGGCTCAATTCTGTACTTCTTCCTGCCCACTACTGTGCTTCTGTGAGAGTTTCCAGTTCTTAAATGATGGTATATTTTAATGTAGTCAGGAATTTCAGAATATCTTATATTCATTTATAAGGATGTAATCTAGATTTTAGAATGAATATTTTAAAATGGAATGAAGTTTAGAGATTCTTTAAAAAAGGTTTCCCATATACTATAAGTAACCATGTTCCTATTAGAATGCCTGAAGGTATTATTAATTATAATCACAACTGGATAGTTTGTGCATGTTACCAAGAATTTTGTATCTTCTTTTTCAGCCTTATCCCTTAAAAATATAAGCGACTTAGTGAGTTTCATTATGATACAATTTTCATATTGAGAAAATTCATATTGAGAAAATTCTGAGAAAATTTTCATATTATGCAGTGTTAGAATTTGTTCATTATGAGAAAATCCATCTTGAGCAGTATTAGAATTTATTTATTATGGGAAAATGCAAATTAAGCAGTATTAGAATCTTTATTGATGAACTATATTTTACCTCTGATTTCTATAACATTAGTAATTAAAATGGAAACAGAATATAACTTATTAAAAACAATAGCTATGCTGCGTGGGGATCTTAGCATTATCAGCATAAATGACAATTGAAATTTTGTACTGATCTTTTCCACTTTCATCTAGTAATAGGACAGAACCCCATGGATTGTGTAGTAATAAGGGATCCATGTTCACTTGGATCATGTCCTCAGGGACTCCTTGAAAGCTGGAATGGTTAAGAATTGTATTTGGATCCTTACACTAGGTGGAGAATCCAACAAGTTTCTTGCCTAACTCAGAAAAAATTTCCATAGTACTAGAAAGCTCTCAGCTCTGTATCCCTGAAACTGTTAATTCCTCATGTTGATATTTGTCAGAAGAAAAGTAATGTTAAATAGGAGTAAAGCAAAGGTAAAGAGATTTTAATACTGAGGAAATAATGCAGTTTTATAATTTCTCAAACATGATTATCAAATCTGTTGAGACATAGAAGTCATGGAAAATTATTCTTTGGAAGATAGGCTGAGAATTCCTGCCCTAGGGATGATGATTTAACTCATTAATTTAATCCAAATCCTTCAATCATTTTTGACTGTGCATTATGGTTGGAGCTACTGAGAAAAAAGATACAGCCCCTGCCCTGAAGGTGCATTTGATTGAAGCAGGAGATGTTACATAACTCTGAGTACCATGATAAAGGCTGTGATGGAAAGACCCTTGGAACCAGTGACTGGAGCGAGTTGTGACCCTGGGGTTTCTGTAGCCACTGTGGGCAGAGAGCATGCACTGCAGAGGGTATGGCAGGGCAGCACGTGTGGAAGCACTGGGAGTGAGAAGGAAGAGACTGCTGTGTGTTGTTATCTATATCAGGTTAACAGTCAGGGTCCTTCACAAGCTGTTCAGTTCAGCTGAGAAGCAGGCAGTTGTGTGGGTTTTAAATTGTTTCTGCTTCTCCACAGGAAGGCCTCACACCACTTATGCTTGCTCTAAGGGAAAACAGAATGGAAGCGGCAGCATTGTTAAAAAAGACAGAAACAAAGAATGTGGTGAATGAGCCGGAAAGGTATGGTTGTTCTTTTTTTAAACAAGAGTTCAGCAGTGTTGTGGAGTGGTAATAAGTCAAATAAGTCAGTAGCTGAAAGACTACCTTAGTGACTGGTGTATAATGAAAAAGATCAACACAAACCATCAGATAGAAAAATTATTTGGATTGGGCAACATAAGGAATACTGTGCAGTACAAGTCATGTGCTATTATTGAGTAATTTTGACTGATGTCTGCTTTTTAATGAGAAGAATAACTTTTGTAGTAAAACAATAAGGAAAAACACTGTGTATTGCTATGTTCATGGAACTTCCTCAGAGTACAAAACATAAGCCTAAATGCTTCATATAAAAAGGAAAAAGTGTAAATGTTTCTTTTCAGTGATTGAAAATGAGCTAGTAATATAAACAAGTTGGCACATAAAATATTTAGAGAAGCAAAATATGCAATTTGGAGAAGTATGCTCATATAAGAGAAACCAGAAAATATTTGAACTTGTGTTTCAGACTTATTTCAAAGAACTTTATATCCTCAAGTTGCATTCATTTATCTATGAGTTCCTCAAGGTTATCTTTCTTTTTCATAGTGCAGTATTCCATTGTGTATAATTGCCATTTTCCTTGTACATTATTCTCTTAATGGATGTACACACTATTTTAGAGATGTAGCTGTTAGAAATTGTGCTGCTGTAAACATAGATATATATATATATCCCTGTATGTATGATTTTAACTATTTTGGAAGATTTCTGCAAGGGGACGTAGCTGTCTCAAGTGGATTTCTATTTTCAGTTTTTTGCGGAAACACCACACTCTTTCCTGTAGTGTTCATACTGGTTTATATTCGCACCACCGTTGTAGAAAAATCCTTCATTCTCATCACCATTTATCATTAGATTTTTTTCATGGAAATCTTTCTAAGATAAAATGCTATCTTTGTGTATTTTTAATTTGCATTTATGTAATTTCCAGAAGCAATGATGAGTTTTCCATGTTTTTATTGGCCATTTGTACTTCTAACAAGTATCATTTCATTTCATTTGTCTGTTCTTTTGAGTTTTCTTTGGTAGGTCTATACTTTGATGCTTGTCCTCTGCCTGTGGAGTGGCTAATGAAAGTATTTTTTTTTTCCAATCTGAAGATTGTCTCCTCATTCTGTTGGTTGTTTCCTTTGCAATGGAGAAGCTTTTTAATTTCATGAGACTCCATTTGTTGCTTGTCTATATTGTATTTTGTGCCATTAGGGTTTTGTTCAGAAAGTCCTTGCATGCCTGTGTCTTTGAGTACTGCCCATTTTGTCTTCCAGAAGATTGCTTCTGTTTTAACATTTAGTTCTTTGGCCCATTTTGGTTATAGTTTAGTACATGGTGAGATATGTGGATCTAGTCTCAATCTGTTGCACGTAGGTATCCAATTTTCCCAGCACCATCCCTGAAAGAATATCTTTACTCTGGTATGTTTTTGACTCCTTTGTCAAAGATCACCCAGCGCTCTGGCTCTGTGTGCTTTGAGTTGTCTCTGTTGTGCTCTCTTCAACTGATGCACATGCCTGTTTCTATGTCAGTACCATGTGGGTTTCATCACTGTAACTTTATAGTGTAGCTCTGAGCTTGGGATTATGATGCCACCTGCTTTGCTTTTGTTACTCAGGATTGCTTTTGGTAGTCTGAGTCTCTTCTAATTTCCCCCAATTTTAGGATTGTTCCATTAGCTCTGTGATAATTGACTTTGGTATTTAGCTTGGGGTTGCACCAAGTATGTTTACCAATATTGAAAGTCAGGCCATTTTGACAGTATCGATTCTGTCTATCCAGAAATGAGGACTATTTTTTCATTTTGTGATATTTTCAGGTGCCTAGTTTTGAGTGGTGTAATTTTCACTATACAATGCTTTGCTTTCTTAAGCTAACACCTATCTATTTAAGTTTTTTTAAATGTTGTCATCAATGATATTATTTTTCTAATTGCTTTTTCAGTGGGTTCTTCAATTTTTTTAATTAAAGAGAAAAAAGAAAGGAAATAAAATAAACAAAGCAGTAAAAGGGTACAAATAATACAGAATTTCAAGAATAAAATACAGTAAGATATCACTAGTTAATAGGTTATATATTGTCATCTTTGAAATAGTTGTCCAAATTATAAAATTAAAGCATGTACAGTGAACATTTATAGAATGAGTTTGCAGAATGTGCCGATCAATGATTGAACAAAAGTTCAGTAATATGGATTTCCATCCTATACACTCAAACATACATGCAGCTATATCCCTTAGACCACCTTCCTTTCCTCTCTTTTTAATAACAATTACACTTTTTGGGTTTTTTTACTCCCACAATTCTTATTATTTTTTTGAAGAGAATAAAACCTAACGTGGCTAAACAAAGCAGAGTCGGTTAGAACAAAAGGTTGGGCATAGTACATGATGTAAAAATAAAATATCAGGTGATGTAAAATGCTTACCATTGTGCCTCTGCTATGTTTTTAAAAAGTTGCCTATATCATCAGATATAATAGAATTGATCAAAACAGTACAGAACAAGACTAATAAAACCTACACTGGAGACCTCAGAGGATTTCAAAAGAAGATAATAATCAAACCATAATGGGCATCTTAGTGAATCTTATTGCCTTGAAATTGGTTGCCTATACCCTCAAACTTGATACTATCAACAAAATAGAATATAGTAAAATCTGACAGAACAAGATGGGGAGAGCAATACTGGGCATCATATCAGGTTAATAAGAAAACAAAAATGTTACTGTAATATATACCTCTATTGGGTTCTTCAATATTGTATAACAATGCTATTGATTTTATCTGTGTGTGTGTGTGTTGTATCCTGGTATCCTGATAATGTTGGTTAACAGTTCTAGAATTGTGTGATGGAGGGTTTTGTGTCTTGGAAGTAGAGGATCATGTTATCTGCACATAAAGGTCTTCTGACTCCGTTCTTCCCTACATGTATCCCTTTTATTTCTTACTCTTAAATAATTGTTCAGGCTATTACGTGAATGACCACATTGAACAGCAATGGTGATAAAAACAACTTCTTTGTCTTGTTCCTGATTTTAGAGAGAAGGCTTTCAATGTTTGCCCATGGCATGTGTATTAGCAGTAGATTGGTCATAAATGGCTTTTATCATGTTGAGATGAAGACCTTCTGAACTTACTTTCTTCAGGGTTTTAATCAAGAATGAGTGTTGCATTTTATCACAGGCTTTTTCTGAACCTATTTAAATGATCATGTGGCTTTGGGCCTTGATTCTATGAAGATGAGGAATTTTGTGTTTGTGTTTATTGAGCCATCTTTGTATTCAGGGGCTGAAACCTGTTTGGTAGGGTGCATGATCTTTTTGATAATTTGTTGTATTTGGTTTACTAGTGTCTTAAAGATTTTTGCATCTATGTTCATTAAACAAATTGTCCTTTAATTGTCTTTTATGGTTGTATTCTTTTCTTCTTTGGTGGTGAGGATAATGATAGCTTCCCAGAATGATTTTTGAAGTCCTACCTTTATTTTTATTGCAGAGTTTGCAGAGTATTATTATTAGATGTTCACTGATGTTCTTAAAGAATTTCATTTTGAGCCCGTCAGGTTCTGGTTTTTCTTTTTAAATTTTTTTATTTAAAGAGAAAACAAGAAAAAACAAAACTGAAGGAGGGAAGAAATAATGATTAAAACATAATTTAAAATTAAAAATTAAGAAATCACTAGTTGATAAATCACATATTGTCCTCTTAGAAATAGTTGTTCAAATTACAGAAGTAAATCATACAAAGTAGACATTCAAACAGTGAGACTGCAAACAATTGTGTTCAGTGATCCAACAAAACTTAGTAATATGGTAATTAATCTTACATACTTACCCATGCATGCATTTATATCCGTTAGAGCATCTTCTTTTCTCCTCTTTTTCTTTTTCTTTTTCTTTTTTTTTTTTTTTTTTTTAAAGGCAAGGGAAAGAAACTTTAATTTTGTATGTATGACCTTGCTGGTAATCAACAACAAAGAGTTCCAAGAAATGTGGATGTTAAGGAGGCTAGCAACGTAGCTCTGTGGTAGAGTAGTTCATCTAGCACTGGGTTCACCCCCAGCACTGCAGACAGAAGCAATCAACATGCACGATGGACCACACTTTTCTCTCTACTCTTGGAAAGCTGAGACTTTTGAAACAAAAGATTGAACAGTGGCTGGAGATACTGCCTTGTGGTACAATATCTGCCTACCATGCACCAGGCCCTGAGTTCATCCCTATAACCACTGCCAAAAAAGAAAGGAAAGAAAAAAGCTGGTGCTGGAGATTTAGCTCTGCAGCACAAGTGCCTGCCTTGCAAGTGCGTGGTCGTGAGTTCGATCCCTGGTACCGGTTAAAAAAAAAAAAAAAAAGAAAAAGAAAAAAGAAAGCAAAAGGCAAAAACTAACCATTTTTATTATGTTACAGGAAAAATGCAAGGAAACTAAAGTTTTTAAAATAACGATCTGAAATAGCCTATTTTTAGTGAAGTATCCTGGTCGCTGTGCAGATCTGTCTTCCCATCACTGCTGCCTGGGAGCAGTCACTGAGCTGCCAGTAATGAGGCTGCTCCATGTCCTCGTTCCTGACCGAAGGCTGAGTAGAAATCAACAAGGAGAGGTTTTATACATTTGCATGGGAGGCACCATGTGCCTCCTTCTGTAGGTTAAAATGCAAATCATATGTACATGGAAAAAAAGTCAGCTCACGTAAATTTTACTGTGATTTTAAAATTAATTTGTAATACTCAGTAAATTACCTTTGATATAATTTTGAACTCGGGTTGCATATGTTTTTAAACTTTTTTAAAAAAAATTAGAAAGATGTAGTGTTCCTGAATCCAGAAACTTCTTGCACATGTACGTAGATCGAAGCATGTATTATGATGAAGAACTAAGATTTGCCATTGCAAAGCTGTGGCTGTCATTGACATGGAGACCTTGACAGATGCACTTAATTACGCTTTCTTTTAGCCTAAAATTAAAGGAATTTCTCCTGGTATTCC